TAATGAACACCTGCACTTGGGGCTCCCTCTCCAGAGAAGTACAGCCTACCCTTGCAAGTCCTAGGTGGCACTTCTGCTGCACCCACCTTTGAAGCAACCAGGCTGCTCGTGGCACCCAGAAGCTGGAGTGTTCATTTGATTCTATTTGCGCATTTTTTATATCCGCTGAGGTAGTTTCTGGACCTCCTGAGCTGCCTGCCTCGTCCGTCCAAGTTATCTCCTGAGGTACCAATAATTGTTTCTGTTAGTAGACTAATTACAAAGTCGCACAGGTTTCCAGCAGTCTGCCTTTAACCCTATTTTTCCCCATAAGGCCTTTTACCTTTATTGTATAATTTTACAGAATGTGAGACCTTTCAGGAATGCACATATTATGCTTTACCAAATGCGCAATTTCTTCCAAGTGCTGCAGAAGGCAGCAGCAGATGAGGCAGACATGTGAGGGAACTAAACCAGACCCTCCTCAGGGACAGGAACAGAATTCCAGGCTGCAAAACTGCTCCTTCACCTGGAGAGCGCTGAGTTCTGCAGCTTCTGAAAACACCATCCCGGCCCACCGCTCAGAGCACTAAAGTGCGATGCTTAGCTCCTGACCCCCTGCACTCCCAGTGCAGCAGAAATAACACCTTTTCTTTGTGTTTCTGCCTTGGACAGAGTGTGTAGCAGCATGGATCAGCTAAATATATTTCTGAATAAAGCCTTTCTCTTCACTTTCTTTGAAATTTGTTCATGGAAGTGTACTTTGATTATCTCTGTTTCCCCCGAGTTTAAACTCTTCCTGCATCCCTAGAATTTCTGTGAAATTTTGTTCGTCTCTTTACTAAAGCCCTGATCACGTTCTGTCTCAGTTCATTTCAAAGGAGTGTATTTGTGTGTCACCTCAACTAAAAGCTTTTTGAGGGCAGGGACTTTGTTTACATTATTGCTACATTCCCTTCATATTGACTAGCACTATGTCCTCCACATGGTAAGTACTTAGTAAATGTTTACTAAACGAGCAAGCCCTCCAAAAACATTGATTTTTATTTGGGCCCTTTCGTAATGAGTGGGTACCGAAAGTACACTGTGAATCCCAACGCAGTGGTTAGAAGACATAGTTTTGCATTAAAAATTTCCCGTAGCATAGTTACTGGAAATTATTGAGGGGAAAGCAAAGATCAGAAAGCAATGTCAGAACACCTGAGAGAAATATTTTATTCATCTTTCTAAAAAATTAATAAGCAACAGACAGGAATTATTTAATTCAGCTGCTCTGATAGGTCCTGCTTCTCTTTCCAAGGCTCTGGACGTTGAATTGTTTCACAAGGGAATACTAGTTCAGAACAAACCTCAAGTTGATTCCTGCTCCGATAGGGAATTTGGTGACAGATGACAGAGTTCTGTTTTCGCAGCAAGGGAAACGTAGGCCTGGTGTGGTGGAGGGGCTCAGGAGCTTTGACTGAAACACACAACTCCAACGTCCCCCTCTTCTTGGCCAGTGCCCAGGTATCTGTTCAGTGTCACAGTTCAGGTCCCTTCCCGTAAAAGTCACAGCTTTGAATAATAAACTTACAGCAATCGCTTATAGGTAAAATTTATTTATAGTAAAAAGTAATGTATAAATAGCCCTTTATGAATAATGCCACATTCATCATCTAATTTGATCCTGAAACGACCCTTTTGTGTTCGTTTGCTGGTGCTGTGGTAACAAAGTACTGAAAACCGGGTGGCTTAGAAATGGAACTGTATGATCTCACAGCGCTGCGGGCTGGAGACCGGATGGACATGTCTGCAGGGTATGTTACGTGTGAGAGCGGTGAGAGAGAATATGTTGGGTCTCTCTCCTAGCTTCTGGAGGATTGCTAGCAACTTTTGGTGTTCCTTAACTTGTAGATCTTTGCTTTTAACTTCACATGGTGTTCTCTCTCTCTCTCTCTCTGTGTGTGTGTGTGTGTGTGTGTGTGTGTGTGTGTGTGTGTGTTCATCTGTGTCCAAATTCTCCTTTCTATAAGGACACCACCCATGTTGGATTAGGAACTCGCCCCTCCCCTGCTCTAGTATGACCTTAACTAATTACATTTGCAACGACTTTATTAGTAAGTAAAGGCACACTCCGAGGTACTGGGGGTTAGGACTTCAGCATGTGAATGTATGCAGGAGGGGGCACACATAACCTTTGTGATAGGTAAAGCAAGAATTACTCTCTTTCCCATTTTACAGAAAAAGAAAACAAGCCTCAGAGAGTTGAAGTAATTTACCCAAAGTAAATGAAAACCGTAGGTTACACGCAAGTTGGGTGCCTGCCTCATAGTCAAAGACAGCCGGGTGGTGCCTCTCGCTATGACTTCGTCTAGCTGTTCTCACTCTCTTGGACCAGTAAGAACTGAGGCTGCACTGAGGCGTGGAAGAAGAGGAGCAGTGGCCAAATATGCTCTCCCCTTGGAATCAATTGAGCAGATGCCCTATTATTTAAAGCTTCGCTTGCTGCCCTGTGGCTGCACCTCATGAAGGCTTGGCCTGCAGGGGAACTGTTGTTTCCGTCTGGTGGGCCCATTCCTGAGCCAAGGGGGGCGGGGTACAATGAGCCTATTCAGGGCAGAAAGTGCAATGCCCCGTGCTTCATTTTTCTCTCTGTAGCACCGTTCTTTGCCTCCCTGTGCCTTTCTTTTGTCCTGCCTATTGAGTAACATCAGCGTGGGCGTTGGGAGTGTGTGAATTGGCAGCTGTGTGAGAGGGCGGCTGAGGACGTCTGCCCGATGATGTATGAGCCAGGACAGGCAGCAGTGGGCAAGCTTCCCAGAAACCACTTTGACCTGTGCCTTCTGCTCTGCCTGAGTCACTCTCACCAGCTAAAGTGGGCGACCCCTCATGGAGTGCATGTTCTCCTTGGCAGAGAAAAGGGCCACTCCCCATTCGTGAGCTCCTGTCCTTACTACACTTGGGGGGAGTTGGGTACAGATTTAGGAGATGAATTCTAACCTCCGCTCTGCCACTTGCCAACTGCGGGACTTCAGGGAAGATGCTTAATCTCCCTGTGTCACATCCTTATCTATAAAATGGAGACAATAAAATTTATTCTCCTCCTAAGGTTACTAAATGGATAATCGATTTAAGTTATAAATGCTGCTTGGAACAATATGTCTGCCAAATAATTCTAGGACTTAGTATATGTAAGCAGGAATCTTGTCTTCTGCATCTCCAGTTTCTGAAGCAAAATAAGATACTGTTTAATATTACCTGAGCAATACTTCCTTATTTGTTTATTTAGTTCCCCAGGTGTCATTTGTTAACCTGTTCATTAAAAATCTGTGATGAGCCACCAGTTTGAATGGCGATCATTAAAAAGCCAGGAAACAGCAGATGCTGGAGAGGACGTGGAGACACAGGAAGGCTTTTACACTGTTGGTGGGAGTGTAAATTAGTTCAACCATTGAGGAACACAGTGTGGCGATTCCTCAAGAATCTAGAACCAGAAACACCATTTGACCCAGCAATCCCATTACTAGGTATATACCCAAAGGATTATAAATCATTCTATAGAGACACAGGCACATGTATGTTTATGGCAACACTATTTACAATAGCAAAGACTTGGAACCAACCAAAATGCCCATCAATGATAAACTGGATAAAGAAAATGTGGCACACGTACACCATGGAATACTATGCAGCCATAAAAAGGATGAGTTCATGTCCTTTGCAGGGGCATGGATTAAGCTGGAAACCATCATTCTCAGCAAAGAAACACAGGAACAGAAAACCAAACACGGCATGTTCTCCCTCCTAAATGAGAGTTGAACAATGAGAATATATAAATACAGGGAGGGGAACATCACACACCTGGGCCTGTCAGGGGGTGGAGGGCAAGGAGAGGGAGAGCATTAGGACAAATACTTAATGCATGTGGGGCTTAAAACCTAGATGATGGGTTGATGGGTGCAGCGAACCACCACGGCACAGTTATACCTGTGCAACAAGCCTGCACGTTCTGCACGTGTCCTAGAATTTAAAGTAAAATAAAATAAAATAAAAATTGGTGGCCGGGCACGGTGGGTCAAGCCTGTAATCCCAGGACTTTGGGAGGCCGAGGCGGGTGGATCACAAGGTCAAGAGATCGAGACCATCCTGGTCAACACGGTGAAACCCCATCTCTACTAAAAATACAAAACATTAGCTGGACATGGTGGCGCGTGCCTGTAATCCCAGCTACTCAGATGGCTGAGGCAGGAGAATTGCCCGAACCCAGGAGGAGGAGGTTGCGGTGAGGCGAGATCGCGCCATTGCACTCCAGCCTGGGTAACATGAGTGAAACTCAGTCTCAAAAAAAAAATTAATTAATTAATTAAATAAATAAATAAATAAAATAAAAATTGGTGAGGATCATATCAAAACACAGTGATTGTGTTTGGATGACGGGATTACGGGTGATTTATTTGTCTCATTTTTTGCTTCTTTATATTTTCTACTAAACTTCCTGTAGTAAATATGTATTTTTTTAAATAAGAGAAAACAGACTTCCACTGAGGACCTGTGGGTGCAGTAGGCGAGGTGTGAGTGGGTACAAAGTGAAGAAGGCGTGGCTGTTGTCCTTAGCGGAGTTTTAAGTCTATGGAAGGAGACAAGACAGGGAGACAAATGACACAGGAGGGTGGACAGTGATGCTCAGGGAAGGCTGGGAACGGGACCAGTCCTTCTCAAGTGGCATCTGGCCTTACAGAGGTGTTTCCATCAATCTTGCCCCAACAGTCTTCGTATATGGTCTTCCCCATCTGGAAGCGGAAAATAAATGGCACAATCAGAGGCAAGGGTCGTTCTTTTCATTGATCGCAGAGCCCCAGGGGGATGGAATGGCTGAAATTCCTTTCTAAGGTACCCATTTCTAGGAAGATGCTTATGTGAAAGAAAAAGTTGAGATGCTTTATGTAATGTATCTTACCCACAGCAGATTTGTACCCCAGCTGCAAAGCGCACATCAGAAAGAATGGAGAAGTAATTTCCTGTTTCTCTCTCTCTTCCCATAGCATAATTAGCATCATCATTATTCTGGCTGGAGCAATTGCACTCATCATTGGCTTTGGTATTTCAGGTATGTGATTTCTCACGTTACTTCAATCTAATCACCCCTCACCCTTAAACTCTTACTCACTCACTGCAGTAGCATGGAAAGAGCCTAGAACTTGGACCGAGAAAACCTCAGAGTATAGCACTCATTGTTCTACTTCTTCTGCTGTCTCTGTGTTAGTCATTTAAGTCCTCGGCTTCGGTTTCCTCATTTTTTACAATTTATTTATTTATTTTGAGACAGGGTCTGGTTCTGTCACCCAGGCTGAAGTGCAGTGGCATGATATCGGCTCGCTGCAACCTCCACCTCCTGGGCTCAAGCCATCCTCTCATCTCAGCCTCCCAAGTAGCTAGGACTACAGGCATATGTGCCACCACGCCAGGCTAATTTTTTTATTTTTAGTAGAGATGGGGTTTCGCCATGTTGCTCAGGCTGGTCTCAAACTCCTGAGCTCAAGCAATCCACCTGCCTTGGCCTCCCAAAATGCTCGGATTACAGGCCTGAGCCACCCTGCCCAGCCTAGTGTCCTCATTTTTGGTAGGGAAATACAGTCAACATCACCAGTTAGGTGAGATAATCGCACGAGATGTTTGTCGGTAGTCTATCCATCAGTCAGTGCTGAAGATATTCTGGAATCATAGGTAACTGCTGCGTCTGAGCCATTCCATCAGTGGTTGGACTAGGTAGATGATTTCTTTGCAATGAAGCTTCAGCTGAAGTGCTAAAGAATATCAAGTCTTGATACACAGGGGTCTTACGTAAAGAGAAAACTGGTCGTGACTACTGTGCTGGGTAGGAAACAGATACCACTGTAGCACAGATGGCTGGTTTCTGAATGTAGTTAACCAATGTCAGTTGCGGAAGAGTCTTCGCGTTCTTCTTCTGCGTATGCCACTCCCCTGAAGCATCTATTATGGATGCCGCTTTAATTTTGACACTGGGTGAGTTAAGGGCTGTAGCTGTCTTCTCTGAGGCGAAATGTCTGCTCTACTTTTCATAAACCACCTGACTCAGGCCAGCGCATTCATTTTAACTCAGTCTGTGACCAGGGCTCCGTAACTTTAGTTTCTGTATTCCAGCGGCCTTCCTGCCATGCTCCTCCAGTGAAAACGTGCTGCCACTCAATATCGTCACAGGTCGAAACTAAGAAAACTTCCTAGAGTCGTGTTTGCCTAGAAAAGACATTCGTCCTCTTCCCTACTTTCTTTGTCATCAATCATATACATTTTAGGGCAGGTGTGGTGGTTCATGCCTGTAATCTCAGCACTTTGGGAGGCTGAACTGAGAGTACTGCTTGAGGCCAGGAGTTCAAGACCAGCCTGGGCAACAAAAAGAGACCCTGTCTCTACATTAAAAATAAATATATATATATATTAGATGAGAACATGTCCTGGCAAAATACATAAATAAATAACATGTATATTTTGTCCTTCATTCATTTTTTCTATTGGGGTATTTGCCTTTCTCTTTTTGATTTGTAGGTAATTCCGTATGTATCATGGGTGCAAACTAGTTCTATGTATCACCAAATCTCATCTACTCTATACTTTGCTTTTCACTCTCTTAATGATGTTTTTCAATGAGCAGTTATTAATTTTAATTTTTATTGACCCTTTTCTTTATACTGGGAGCTTTTTTTAATCTGTTTAAGAAATCTTTGCCTATTCCAAGATCATGAAGATTTTCTTCTAGATTATCTTGTAGAAGCTTTATTGCTTTGTCTTTCACATTTATATCTGCAAACTATCTCTAGTTAATTTTATACCTAGTACAAGAGAGGGGTCAAAAGTCATTTTTTCCTTATGGTATCTGGTAGACCCAGCACCATTTATTGAAGACACTGTCCCCATTTCCCACCAGCACCATCATGGTCGTAAATCAAGTACCCAATTGTGTGGGGATCTGTTTCTGAATTCATTAGTCTGTTTCATTCTAATATTCATTTATTATGATTTTTTTTTTTTTTTTGAGATGGAGTCTGGCTGTCACCCAGGCTGGAGTGCAGTGGCACGATCTCAGCTTACTGCAAACTCTGCCTCCCAGATTCAAGTGATTCTCCTGCCTCAGCCTCCCAAGTAGCTGGGATTACAGTCGTGCACCGCCAACCTGGCTAATTTTTGTATTTTTAGTAGAGATAGGGTTTCACCATGTTGGCCAGGCTGGTTCCAAACTCCAGACCTCAGGTGATCCACCCACCTTGGCCTCCCAAAGTACTGGGATTATAGTGGTGAGCCACCGCGCCTGGCCTCTTATGTTATTTTATTCTTTTCCTGTTCATAATCTTGGTCATATTTCTCTCTCTCTTTCTTTCTCTCTATTCTTCTCTCTCTTTCTCTTTTTCTCTCTTCTGCTCTCTCTTTCTCTCTCATATATTAAAATAGATTAATAAGGTGTTGTTAGCTTTATAGGAGTTTTGAAAGAAATAGCTTTTAGTTTATTTATATTTTTTCTGATCTATATTCCTATTTTACTAATTTTGGCTTTTATCTTTACTAATGTTCCTCTTCCTGCTTTATTTGGCCATCTTGTAATTCCTTTTCCAATGTCTTAAAACAAACAAGCAGCTCACAAGGAGTATGTCCAAAAGGCAAATAAATAGCTTTTGGTATATAGTGCCATTCAGTTTTCCAAAGTGATGAGCCAATCTGCTCTTCCCGTTTCACAGGATGACAGCTGATTATTTGGATACAATGGGCAGTTTTTAGTTTAATACTATTTAGTTGCATTTTTTTCAACTGCCTCTATTTCAAGGACTATCGCCTTTATCAGAGCTCATCATATTATCAGACTTTAAATAAATGCAATAAAATGTTAGCTGGTTTAATATATAAGACACTGAAATTAAGCCAATAGCATTAAGCAGATGATGATGTGTATTAGACCGTACTTGCACTGCTGTAAAGAAATACCTGAGACTGGGTAATTTATAAAGAAAAGAATTTAATTGGCTCACGGTTCTGCAGGCTTTACAGGAAGCATGGTGCTGGCATCTGCATGGCTTCTACTGAAGCCTCAGGGAGCTTTCAATCATGATGGATGGCGAGGGGAAACAGGCATGTCATGTGTCGAAAGCAGGAGCAAGAGGGAGAGAGAGTGGTAGGGTGGTGCCACATACTTTTTAACGACAAGGTTTCATGTGAACTCAGAACCCGAGAGCTCACTTATTTCCAAGGGGATGGCCCAAGCCATTTATGAAGGATCCGCCCCCATGACCCGGATACCGCCCACCAGGCCCCACCTCCAACATTGGGGATAATATTTCAACCTGAGATTTGGGTGAAGACAAATATCTAAACTTTATCATGATGGTCATATCATTTGAATCCTTTCTGCTTATGCTTCATTGTACTAAATAACTTTGTACATGATTTGTCTTACTACACACAACGCATAGGAGGTAGATGCCATTACTTTGTTCAGATGAGAAATGTGTGGAAGGACACACACAGCCAGCAAGTGAGCATGGCTGCATTTCAAGCTCTGGGAATTTGCTTGCAGAACCCACACTCCTACCCCTCAGCCCATACCAATGGCAACATTCACACAGAGTTATGGTGGAGAAGGGTGTTTTAGGCTTTGCCTTGCAGGCGTGATTTCTGAGACCACAGCTTTCGAAAACTTAAAAATATTCCCCAATACAGAAAGAAATTATCTCTCTTTGTAACTCTCCTGATGCTGTATATGCTTCCTTCTCAGAGCCATCCTGCTCCTTACACATTCTAAATACAGACCTGTAAAACACAGAAAGCATTTGAGGTGGACCATTTGAAAGAGAGGCTGAGGGGTTCCAATCAGCCCCTGGTTAAAGGGCAGCCCTTGTGGATAAGCCTTCGAGAAGGAAGGAGACATGATGGAAAGGCCCCTAACCATGCCCAGCCCAATCCCTGTGCTATCATTCTCTGACTTGGAACAGCTCTGTATAATGGAAGGATTTCAGAATCAGAGCCATTCCAGTCTCAGGGCTGACACTAATGGTATATCCTTTGGAATACAACTTAAGCCTTTCCTGACTGGTGTAATAGGCAGGGCTGTTGTGAGAATTAAAGGAGGGTTCTTATTCAGTGCCTGACATTGTTATTTATATTGATACCATCAATGCTTTTAGTAAAAATGTGCCTGCCTGCCTGCCTGCCTTCCTCCCTCCCTCCCTCTTTCTTTCTCCTT